CCATTTTTCTGGCACGGTGATTTTTGAAAAAAAATGTAAAATATTTCTTCCCTATATATTTTCATGTAAAATTATGATCCTCTTGTTTTGACCCCACCCTACTCCCGGGTTTTAAAAGAGGACATGGCTCTTTAGTTGAACAAACTCAGATCTCCTTTCAACTAAGGCTGCTTTGTAGTAAGTTTGATTGAAACTGGTCCAGTGGGTCTTGAGAAGAAGTAGAATATGAATTGTTCGTTTGTTGTTTAATGTCTCTCTCGAGAATTAAAATGTGAAATGTTTAAAGACAGACATATGGATGGATACTTTTCGATCAGAAAAGCTAATTGAGCCTTTGGCACAGGTGAGCTCAATTTAAACACATAAGGCCCATGGGCCACAAGGCTCACCTTAGTAACTATAGCCCTTCCGTTTCTTTTTCCTACATATTCGTATGTAAAACTTTGATCAAATATAATGTTCCCACCCTACTCCAAGGGGTCATGATTAAAACGAACATCAATATACACTACTTGATGTTTTTCAAATAAATATATGGTTTTGTTGTTCTTGAGAAGATTTTTCCTATGTCTTCTTATGAAAAACTTTGATTGCAAATTGTGGCCCCATCCTACTCCCCGCTTTTAACAAATTTGAATCAACACTACCTACAGATGCTTCCAAATAAATATGACTAACCATGGATTTGCTGTTCTTGAGATTTTTATAGATATTCCCATATATTACTATGTATAACTCCGATCTCCTGTTGTGGTCCCAGCCTTCCTCCCCCCAGGGGTCATGCTTTAAAAACTTCTCCCATATATTCTTATGATAAATTTTGCTCCCCCATTTCTGTCCCACTTTACACCTAAGGTTCATGATTTATACAAACTTCAATATACAGGATGATTCCATATAAACATAACTAATCTAGGTTTTGCTGTCCTTGAGAAGATCTACACTACATGAGGATGCTTCTGTATTAGCATGACTAATTCTGACTTTTTAATTTTTTAAACGATTCTTTAAAAAAATAAAATAAAATAACGTGTGCTTTTGCTACCCCAGTGTAAAATAATTACATGAAGTGTCATATACAGGTTGACTTAGCATCATGCAGTGCCAATTTATGCAATATACTTTTTTCAATATTTTTCCTATATATTCCTATGTAAAACTTTGATCCCCTGTTGTGGCCCTGTTCTACCCATTGGGTCATGATTTGAACAAACGTAAATCTACAATAACTGAGGATGCCTCTGCATTTTTATGACAAATAATTAAAATGATTTAAAGTTTGCTGTTCTTGAAAAAAAATCCTATATATTCCTTTGCAAAAAATTTGATTCCTTGTTGTGGCCCTGCCCTAACATCGGGGGTATGATATGAACAATCTTGAATGTACAGCATGTAAAAAAGCCTTCACAATATTTGTATCTTTTCTGGTCAAATGGTTCTTGAGAAGAAGAATTTTTAAGATACTACCAAATTTTCACGAATTCTTATAATTAATTATTTCCCCTTGAAAGAGGGCGTGGAAATTCCTGTGAACAAACTTAAATCCCCTTTACCCAAGGATGCCTTGTGGCAAGTTTAGTTGAAACTGGTCAAGTAATTCTGGAGAAGAAATAAAAAATGTTACAAGAGGCCCAGGGGCTCATCGCTCACATCTGCATTTTGGCAAGAAAAAAAAATCTTGTGGCCCAACCCTACCCTTATGATACTTGATCTGAACAAACTTAAATCTACACTACCTGAAGATGTTTCTTTTAATATTACTTATCATGACTTCCCTGTTTTAGAGTAGAAGATTTTTAAAGGTATTTCCTATATTTTACCATGTTAACTTTTGATTGCCCACTGTGACCCCAACCTATCGCCGGGGTCATGATTTCAACAAACTTGAGTGTATACTACCTGAGGATGTTTTTACATAAGTTTTGTCTTACAAGATGCCATTAATTTTTCACTATTCGGAATTATCTTCCCTTGAAAGAGGGCGAGGCCGTAAATTTTAACAAACTTGAATCCCCTCCAACCAAGGATACTTTGTGGCAAGTTTGGTTGAAATTGACCCAGTGGTTCTTGAGAAGAAGTCGATGCCAGACAAAATGTGAACAGAAAAGCTCACTTGAGCCTTCGGCTCAGGTGAGCTAAAAAGTTTACAAACTAGAATTGTCCAAAATGGACAAATACCCCCTGCTGGGTTTTTCAGAGAAGGTGCTAAGTCACTAATATTAGTATTTGATGGATCTAAGAGGTGTACACAATTTGTTTAAACATTTAGAGTGAAAATTTACCGATAATTGCTCATTATATATTTTTTAATGGATGAAACTAAGGCATAGCCTAATAAAACATCAATATTAATAATAACATTCTTTTTTTATTACAGTGAAAAAATAAATAATTTTTCAAGCATTTCTCTATTGGAAAGTATGGATGCATTATTTTTCCATTTTTTCTACAGTGACTATAGGTCAAGATCATGACATATCCTCAGGTCATAAACAATCTCTGTGTAAAGTGGAAACTCCAAACATCCCAACATTATTCTCCATAAGAAAGATATGGACCTGACACGAATTATTAACTTTCTGTCAGTGACCTTGAACTTGCCAAAATGACCTTGAGTCAAGGTCATGACATATTCTCAGGTCATACAGTACCAACCAGACCCAACCTGACACAAAGCAGTCCCAGAGCAGTCCCACAGCGATCCCAGCAGTCCCAGCGGTCCCAGAAAGCAGTCCCAGCAGTCCCAGTGGGCGGGGTTAATTAATTTAATGGGCGGAGCTTACTCAGAAATGAGATTACCAATAAACAATGTAACTATAAAAGGCAGTTGAAATTGATGATCCATTTCTTTCTGAGCAGTATCAATTCTCATGCGACAGTCATTTTTTAACTGTTAAGAAAATCACACTACGCGTATAGAAACAAATAATAAATATTGAACAAAGAAGACGTTCACACCTATAAATAACATGTATATTTAAACACAGTTTTGTGGTATATTAATTTTTCACCAAAATAAATCAATTTCTAAATTACTGTGATTGATATTGGTTTCCATATTTATTTATTTTTTATTTATTTTTTTTTTTATAGATAATTAAGCTTGAGTTATTTATTTTCTATCAAAACTAGCTTTACATAGGCCTTATAATTATAGAGCAAGGCCGATTTCCATACTATACTCTGAATGCAGTTTTCTTAAGTACTGGAGGTTTTGAAAAATTCTTTGTGTATTATATTTCAGTCATGATTATTTTCACTGACTTGCCAATTTAATTATCGTTAAATTATCTATGTAACAGAAAACAATAATACTTTTATTATATAAACGTTTGAGTGTACATCTGTAAATCACGCGAATGGAACCCTCAGATTATGTTCAAAATTAATTAATCCCAAAATAAATTTATACACATTTATTGAAACGAAGATTTTTTGCAGTACATAGATTGAAATTAGTGTCATTGTTGACCAGCATGTTCAGTGTAACACTGATACCCAAATAACATGCATTGACTTTCTGCTAATCATGCCCGAAGGCGATTGAAACTTCAGGTGTTGACACCATTTTATACATTTGTGTTGCTTTTTATTAATCGGCCAGGAATACACAAACAAAACAAATAAGAAATAAGTTAAAATGTTTATAAATTTACTCTTTTAATTACTTGTTTATAAATCAAAAACAAATTCATAACTAAATCCCCCAACAATTGTTCACAAATATAATTTTTTAAATGACTGAAGAATGGTAGAATAATTTTATTTCATGGTCATTTAATAAACTATTAGGTTTTATTTGAGGGCGGTAAAAAATAGCATGGAATGCTCTTTTTTAGCATGCATATGGTTTTAGCTTTTTCAATTAAAAAAAAATCCAGTAAAGTACGTCCCTCTGAATGTCTTATTGTAATGACAAGTTTGTTTGTTTTTTGTTTGTTTATTTGTTTTTAAATAGTGCTAATGCAAACTTTGAGTACATTCCGTAACTTGAGAGCATTAATTAATTAAATAGGCCTCGATATTTTTTTTCAAACACCTGTATTAAAGTTTTAATTAGCATTAATTAATTAAATAGGCCTAGATATATTTTTTTTCAAACACCTGTATTAAAGTTTAATTTAAAGGATAAAAGTCATCTCCTGACTTCCCTTTTAACTACTTTCATTTTTTAAAATTAATTCTAGACTACAATTGTGTAAATTTACAGCCCCTGAAGACATTTAGTAATTACATGTATATCTATCTTTACTTATTAAAATGTTGTAAAAAATCCTTGTTTTTTTTTTTATTCTTTATCTTAAACACCTCTCTGCTGAAAGTAAACAAAACAACAACAGGGAGCCTGCAAATTCAGAATACACAAGGGGCGGAGCTATCATGTCACTCAGAACCTTTTTCATGCATGAGTGAACAAAGCAGTCCCAGAAAGCAGTCCCAGGGACTGCTGGGTCTGCTTTCGAGAGCAGTCCCAGAGCAGTCCCAGAGCAGTCCCAGAGCGGTCCCAGAGCAGTCCCACAGCAGTCCCAGAGCAGTCCCAAAGCAGTCCCGGGGACTGCTTTCTGGGACTGCTTAGGTGTCAGGTTGGGTCTGGTTGGTACTGTAAGCAATCTTTGTGTAAAATGGGAACTAACCAAGTTTATCCACAAGAAAGATATGGTCCGGACACAAATTATGAACTTTTTCTTTCAGTGACCTTGAACTTGCCCAAATGACCTTGGGTCAAGGTCATGACACACCCTCAGGTCATGAACAATCTTTGTGTGAAGTAGTAGATTCTAATGTTCCTCCGTAAGAAAGATATGGACCGGACACGTTTGCACAGACAGAAAGACGGACAGATGGACAAGGTGATTCCTTTATACCCCCCAAACTTTGTATGCGGGGGGTATATCAACACATGACAGACAGGTGTTTGACACTTTTTGATCAGAAAAGTTTACTTGAGCCTTCAGTTCAGGTGAGCTAAAAACAAAAGAAAATGAAAAAGTACACAAAACCCAACTAGAAATGATGTTAACAGATTTTTCCAAAACAGAAAATAAACACCTTCAGATTAATTATACCATTCAAGTCACAAAGTACATGTATGTTTCCCTTCATTTATAAATGCTAGCTATTTGTACATCAATTATTTCATTCTCGCTATGTCATTTAAGAGAAGCTAAAAGTGTTCCAATTAGCTTTTGGACTGTATAGGGGAATTGTTCCAGATGACATAATAACCATGACTTAGTTAATGTATTGATATTCAAAAACTTAAAAAGAAAGATAGATCAAATGATACATGCATATGTCGCTAAACATACATAAAAGCAAAGCATTACTAGTATCAAGTTTTATGTACAAATGTATGATGAGAACAAAAACCTAAGAACACGATAAAAAATCTCTCAAAGCATTATTCTTGAACTGACGTACATAATTATTCAAAAGAAAAGAAAAACACCCCTTCAAACTATTTTTTGTACATGCATATGTATATGTACATTTACATATCCCCTGAATATCTTTTGAGAATGTTTTACATGTTAATAGTTTGTAGCACCTCCATAGAGAACGCAGACATATCTTTATGGCTCTGTTTGCTTTCTGAGCAAAGTTCCTATTGAAACTCCCACAGCGTAACTAGACAATCTATGACATCAATTCGTTCTATGAACTTCAAAGCTCTGCCTATGTCCCCACGGCTTAAATATGGCCGTTCTTCTTTCAATTTCGAGAGAGATTTAAATATTCTTTGTTGAATATCAGGAACATTTACCTCAATCTGTTCTATACATATTTGTGGAAGCCCTAAAAACCTAACCAAATGTGTGTACTCTTTTGACAGTTTCTCTGATAACATCCTGAATTCTCTCTCTGAAACTGGTTGACGACTTTCAACTATTTCGCTACATTCAAAGTCAGACAACTGAAAAGTACCAACATAATCTGCGGCTTCTCCTTGTCCAACTTCCCGTAAAATATTCTCCAACTCCTTTCTGTGATCCACGGCTGAATTCTTACATTTCCATTTATAGAGAATTCTAAATCTATCTTCTTCAACACACACTGCAGATGTCTCCTCCATGTTAACCCCAAAATTAGCAGCAAGTATAGAGGAGGAAATTCCACGTAGTTTCCTTGACACCACATTTAAGATCAATTCTACTGCTAAAATAAAAATTCAGAAATAATATTAAAAAGGATTGTCCTTACATAACACCCCAGCCCCCCCCCCCCTCCCCCTGCAAAAGAAGTACTTGGGGTCTTGGCAATTTGTTTCCCTTTTTTGTGTGTCAAAAAAGTGACGAGTCCAATATTGGTTGAGTTGTTGTGGAATCCCCCTTCCCCTGTATAATTAAAAAGTCTTTGAATATGAACAATTTATACAATGAAATATGGAGATACCGAACAGTTATCAAACTCAAAAGTCCATTGAAACAATACAAATCAGGAGCAGAGCAAACACGGACCTCTGAATAACATCAGAGGTAGGATCAGGTGCCATGGAAGAGTAAGAAGCCCCTGTCGACCGGTCTTACCACCGTGTGCTCATTAACATGATCGGACAAACGGAAAAATCCCTAGATAATTCAGTGTTGAAATAATCGCCTCACAAATAGTAAAAATACAAAAGAAATCATTTCTAGTATGATTCATATGTTTATCATATTTTCTGTTTTCTGTTGCACTATTTTGATTCTTACTGTTTTCTGTTCCGCGTTTCAGTAACACCCAATACAAAAATGCATTAAGAATAAAGACAAAAATGAGAAACTGGAATACATACAAGGATCATGGCGAATGTTTTCCTCTTCAGTAACACTCTCTCTTTGGGGTTCCTATTTGATAAACATCAAGTTCAATGTACAACACTGTAACTTTTATTAATTAATAATAATATTTCGACATAATGAAACTGAAACATCTGCAATCTATTCTTATTGCTCCAATATTAAGGTGCAACATTGGTTTGATTTCAGCATTCACCATTTTCAAAATGACCAAACAATGTGATTTCTTTTAAATTTCAAGGAATCTTTCTTCTAAAAATAAGTCCATAAATCGAACTGCAGTATTTGGTACAAAAATAATTTCACAAGGAAAATAAAAACAAGCTTTAATTATTACTGTAAAATCACATATTTTCTCGGTTTTGGGGGGGGGGGGGAGGGGAGGGAGGGAGGAAATATTGGTATTTGGGGATTTGATTTTGTGGTTGGAGAAATGTTGACTTATGTATATGAAAATTTACATTTCATGGTGGACATGAATTTGTGGGTCTCTTTATTCCTCGAAAACAACGAAAATTACCCCCACCCCCACGAAAATTAGTGATTTCACAGTATTTCAACTATAATACCTGTTTCCAATATTTCGTGATCTCTTTTGATATGATGTTATGTTTTTTACTTGCTGAACAATGAGGGCACAAAAACTTTGGTTCAGTAAACTTTGATTCATCAACAACTGCACTTTTTCTGCTGTCACAAAATCCGATAGCTTTGCATTTGAAGGCAATTTTGAGATCACACTCTGTTTGAAAGGTGTTGGACAGAAGTTTCAATGTATCATCTATTCTTTTTCTAATTTGGTGACAAGTTGGCACATCAACTTCTCCCTCAATAACAAATACTTGTAACTGAATTTCTGATTCAGTCATTCCAAGCAGAATGTTGTGGTCCTGGAACATAAACACAGCTGCTGTTTGGTAAATGCATCCTTGGTCTGCTTCTGAAAAAATCTTCCACGGAATCTGCATGCATGTTGCTACAAGGCGATGGAAAATTCCAGCAGGAAGAACATCAAACACATAGCAGAGGATGGAGGAGGCAGGGTACTCTGTAAAGCTACTGACAGGGAATGGTATTTTGTTCATACAGGGAACATACCATTTCTGGGGTTGGCCACCCATTTTAGCTAATAGCCCTAGCTTCTCCATGTAAAGCATGATTTTGTCTTTGTGTTCAAGGTAGCCATTTTTGTTTATATTCCATATGGCTGAGAGCAAGCTGTCACTTAGTTCTCCAGTTTCATCAAATTTGTCCCACTCTGGTGCATATTCAAATAAATCTTCTTCTGCATGGTTTTTATCAGTTATTACATTTTTGAATGCGTCTGCAAACCACTGAACATCAAGAATAATTATTTCATTCAAGAATTCCTGGTCAAAATGCAGAAGTTCTTTTATGTCATGGAAAAACATCAGCATGATATTTATATCTTCATCTCTCTCCAGTTTTATTTCCTGTGGCAAAGCTTCATTGAAAGCCAAAAGGACTACTTTATTGATAATTTTAAGGTGCTTTTTTTCCTGGAAGAAGTTTTCAAACATAGCCCATGAGTGTGGAAGCTTTTCACCCCAGTGATCAAGTTTTTGAACAACATTAACTATTGACAGTTTGATTTTTTCAATACATTCACTTTCATGGAATCCTACAGCAAACTTCCTCTTACTGTCAAGATGCCTAAGTAAGGACTTTTCCTTCAAAGTCTTCCATATTTCACGGAAAAACTCTGTTTTCTCCTGGAAGAAAAGTGTCAGTATTTACATTTATATTAAAGGGGCCGGGACACAGATCTGAAGCTCATATTTTCTCAAGTTTTCTACATATCATGACTTACATGTTGCTAGAGCATTTCAAACAGAAATATATTAAAAGCTAGCATGTTTAGAAAATTATTTTATCTGGAAATTATGATTTTCAGGTCGTGTTTGATTGACACATATCCTTTCACTTCCACAACTTCCACAAAGTAAACTTTATCCATAATATTTAAGAAAAAGTAAAAATTTTGTTGTGTATTAATGAAAAATATGAAAACTATAATGATCCCAAAAGTTCAGAATAGAAATGCGAGAAATAGAAACTGTCAGTCCGTGCTCAGTGATGTGTGCTGATTAAGCAATTGAACATACCCGGTAAAACGTAAATACTAACAATAAGAGAGCGAGCTTGTGCCTTATTTACAAACACAGGTGTTTGACGTGATGTAATGAAGAATGACATTGTCATTAAATTCTTAAGAATATTTATGCAAGTTCAAATCATTAAACTGAAATAATTTTTGAATAAGAATAGACCTTTAAAATTGTAAACAATGCAACTGTGTTTAGGCCCTTTTAAGCACAGGGAGAGAGGGGTATACAACAAGAAAATAGTCAGATGTAAGACAAGAAAGGATCAAAAGAGGTTCTTGTTTTATAGCACAATACAGTTAAACATAGTTACAGTGGACTGCTTACTGAATTCAGGATTACAGCGCAGTGATTTTTCCTTCCCTATAGATATTATATGAGCAAGCTCCCAAAATGATACATTTACTTCTGACCCATTACTCTTGACACAATTCAGTATGTGTTGCAACCACATACTTTAATTCTAACCATGACTAACCATAATAAGTCTACAAAGCTCTACTTTAGGAGTGAAATCAATAAGTGAAGGGAAGTCTCATGAAATCAAAGTGTTATTATTTAAATATGCTTCACATAAATATCCAAAAGTATGAACAATTACTAATCATAGTCCTAGCTAGCTGTTATTTTTGAGAAGAAACATGATATAAACAAGAGGCCCAAGGGCCTTAACGGTCACCTGAGTATAATACAACAATTTAGAGGATCCATAGAGTATAAAATGAACTGAAAGGTGAAGCTTTGTTGCCCAAAAGCAAGAAAAATAGGGTGATCAGGATTAACAAAATAATTAGTCTAGTATTCATTAACAGTTCATAAATTAGGTTCTAATCTGTTCCCCATTTATCACTCTCACCAGACAGTATATTAAGAAACTATCAGTACTTCTGTACTCTTTTAATTCCTTGTGGAAATCTCTTACATTGGCCTGAGTAAGACTCTTGGTCTTTGATGAACATTTAAGGTACTGGTATTCCATCCCTAATAGCCTCAGATTCAATGAATTTGAATACATAACAGATGTGTACGGGTGGAATACTCAGTATATTTAGACATAATCTACATTTATTACTATTAGCATGTAAGAATGGAAGTGTCCTAATTTATGACTTGACCTTTGTTGAAGAGTTATCTCCCTCTTTTTTTAAGGTATAAAAATCAATTTTAAAAAAATATACGGTAAAAAAATTGTTTTCAATTGTCATTCTATTTCTAATGATTTAATGGATCTTTCCACCACAGTAGTTATTGATATTCTTATAATCTGAATTTTTATTTTAAAAAAATCGCTTGTCTCCATAGACTTCACTGCAATTTCTATTAATTAAATACTGCTTAGTTAATTACGTTTTTGAAACTTTCACTTGGTAAATCCTTTTCTACTGTAAAGTTCTTTGAATTAATATCAGAGTATTATATACGTGATTGATATTTAAGAATAGAGAATTAGTTCCTATTAGGGATGGAAAACCTTAATAAGACAAGTCTACCTGATCATTAAAACTATGAAAGTACTTTTTGTATTACATGTATACAATAAAAATTCTTGCATAATTAATTCTCTTATTCTATTAACCTTTCAAGTACATTATTTACAGTGATTAATTATAACAAGTAAATGGCAAAGGGGAATAATTCCTCTCAGTAGAATACAAATTAATAGAGCCCTGGCCTGGACTAGAACACTTGACCAAATGGTCTTGATGTTCAAAAATCTGGTAAAAATACTCTTCCTAATTAAAACTTTTACCCTTTTTGCCTCTGATATGCCCAGGTGCAGAGAAGATTTTTAAAGCATTAATGCATTTTCACTATATAATAAATAGAGTCCCGCCCTAACATCAGAACCTCTGATCCAGGGGTCATGAAATTCACAAATTTGGAAAAGGCATCCTTGCTTATCATAACCATGTATTTGTTTAAATAATACCCAGGAGAAGAGAAGAAGCTTTTCAAAGAAATAATGCACTTTCACTATATGATCTATATAGCCCCACCCTAGCACCAGAACCCCTGACCCAGGGGCCATGAATTTCACAATTTTGGTAGAGTCACTCTTGCCCATCATAACTATGTATTCGATTTGTTTCAATAATACCCCGGAGTAGAGAAGAAGATTTTCAAAGAAATAATGCACTTTCACTATATGATCTATATAGCCCCGCCCTAGCACCAGAACCCCTGACCCTGGGGCTATGAATTTCACAATTTTGGTAGAGTTACTCTTGCTTATCATAACTATGTATTCAATTTGTTTCAATAATACCCAGGAGTAGAGAAGAAGATTTTCAAAGAATTAATGCATTTTCATTATATAATCAAATGAGCCCCGCCCTAGCACCAGAACCCCTGACCCAGGGGCCATGAATTTCACAATTTTGGTAGAGTCACCCTTGCTCATCATAACTATGTATTCAATTTGTTTCAATAATACCAAGGAGTAGAGAAGAAGATTTTCAAAGAAATAATGCACTTTCACTATATGATCTATATAGCCCCGCCCTAGCACCAGAACCCCTGACCCTGGGGCTATGAATTTCACAATTTTGGTAGAGTTACTCTTGCTTATCATAACTATGTATTCAATTTGTTTCAATAATACCCAGGAGTAGAGAAGAAGATTTTCAAAGAATTAATGCATTTTCATTATATAATCAAATGAGCCCCGCCCTAGCACCAGAACCCCTGACCCAGGGGCCATGAATTTCACAATTTTGGTAGAGTCACCCTTGCTCATCATAACTATGTATTCAATTTGTTTCAATAATACCAAGGAGTAGAGAAGAAGATTTTCAAAGAAATAATGCACTTTCACTATATGATCTATATAGCCCCGCCCTAGCACCAGTACCCCTGACCCTGGGGCCATGAATTTCAAAATTTTGGTAGAGGGCTCAATGCTTATTACAATCATGCCAACAGTTTGACTGCTTGATGTCCAGGAGTAAAGAAGAAGATTTTTGAAGATTGCATTAATTTTGATGGTTTTGGCCCCACCCCTCAGGCCACGAATTTCACAATTTTTGTTCCCCTTCACCCATAGATGCTATATGCCAAAATTGGTTGAAATTGGTTCACTGGTTCCAGAGAAGAAGCTGAAAATGTTCAAAAGTTTACGACCGACGAACGACAACGGACGAAAAGAGATAGCAATAGGTCACCTGAGTGACTCAGGTGACCTAAAAACATTAAAGATTCCCTCATATATTGCAATGTAGAATTATGAACTCTTATTGTGACCCCATTAAAACCCAAGGGTAGATAATTGAACAAACATAATTTGTCCAATTAGAGGATGCTTGCAAATCACGTTCCTGTGGTTCTTTATTTAGCCAGTCACATAAAACTTCCATATTGATTGTGACCAAACCCTCCATGTACCTCTGGAGGTGGGAGCATCACTTAAACTAACTTGATTCTTAACTATGTTAAAAGAAACTTTGATATGTTTCATCCCCCCCCCCTATATATTCCCATGTAAATCCTTTACCAATACACATGGACCTGCTCTAAAAACTTTAACCTGGTTCGATTATCTTACCTTTTCTGTCTTTTTTTCAGCATGAGTTGCAACCAATAAAACTGGAGCCTTGTCATGGCCATATTGATGAACAGACTTTATCCAGAATGTTAAGTAATCTGAGTGAGATAGAAAACAACAAACACTAAATGATGTAATTACTGCACTTTCCTGGAAGGGCAGATAAAAATATAGTAAATTCCATATGTCTGTGCTAAAATGGTAGTTTTACTAATTGAATTTAATATGCTTATGCTACACTTTTTTTTTATAGAAATGCACATGATAGACATGAAAGCTACTTGACAGAAGCAAAACCATTCAAAATTATGGCCAAGGTTTAAGTCTTTCAAAAGTAGGTCAAACTCCAAGGTCAATGTCTTAATTAAAAATAGGGTGGTTGGGACCCAAAGAAATGATAGTCCTGTCATAGGAAATATATAGGAGAAAATGAAAGCCCTAGCATCAACCATTCAGAAATTATGGCCAAGGTTAAAGTTCTTCAAAAGAAGAGCAAATTCCAAGGTCATGAGATCAAAATGTTCGTACTCATAGAAGTTTTGTCACAAAGAATACACGTGAATTATGAAAGCCCCATCAACAACCACTCGAAAGTTATGGGCAAGGTTTAAAGGACTTATCGCATGTTTCTAAATTATTTGAAATTAAAAGCATAAAATGTTCCTTATGACCACAGTTTATAAATTTTGTGTTTTTACTGCAGATAAACCGCGGTAATTAACCAATAATTGACTCAAATGAAAACCCCTGAATTAAAAATCTAAGTTAATTAGATAGCGATCACGTGACCCTGTGACGTCAAAGGCGACAATGGCTGATCAGCTCTTCATGTAAATCTTACTAAAATATACGCTAATAAGATACAACCTGAAATTTCTGCATTACAGACGAGAAAATCACTGATTTTTATCGATATGAAATTTAATATTCAACCTAATATTTTTGAATTGTCAGCAAGAAATAATCTGAAAAATCCGTTAACATTGTAAAAATAGCAGCGATGATAGCGAGAGAGATGCGGCAAAGATGAAGAAACTCCCCGTAACAACACAATTTGATTTGTCATTTTATCACATGTATGAACTTATTTGATTCACAAATTTAAATTACATTACTTTGTTATTCTTCGTTTTTAACATAATATTAATTTATGCAGTATGCCTTCATATGTTTTGTAAAGGATGGCAGTCTTGAAAAATAATTTTCCGATCACGAAACATTGCCATAATCAGACCTACAGATTCTAAATGTTTTGAATAAAAAACGAAAATATCTCAAAATTCTTACACCTTAGAACTAGTTAATGTTTCTACTGTGATTGAAAATCACGTTAGGAATTAATTTTTTCAGCATTTTTCATAATTAAGCTGCTTTTTGTCGTTGATAACTCTGTAAATAGTGTGCAACTTCTCATCTCTCTATCACTGAACTGTCGCCTATGACATCAGAGCAGTATTTCGCCGAAATCCGTCTGAAATATGCATATTGCCGTATTTGATTTTCAACTCTCAATATCTCTTAAAAAACGCTTTCAACAACGTTTATTGTATTCAGAATTTTAATAAACAAGGTTGTAGATAATATTTTTCATAAAATTAAGATTTTTGAAAAATCATGCAATAAGTCCTTTATGTTTTTGAGGATTAACAGACAAACAGACTGCAGCGGAATCCCCGATAATAGGAGCATAAACCTAATGTATATGGTTTCTTTTTTAGTATTTTATTTACATAATTTTCTACGTGATGTATCTATACTTGTACCAGGTTGCTATTTTTTTATGAAGATTTTTCTCCTCTAATCTATGTGTTCCTTTGTAAAACTTTTAATGACTATCGTAGGTCGACCCAAATGAGGGGAGGGGGGCTTAAAATGTCTTATAGTATGTTCACCAGAAGATTTTTGAAGTTTTTTAAACATATATTCCAATGTAAAACTCTGATCTCATATTGTGGCCCTGGAGGTCATAATTTAAACAAACTTGAATCTACACTACCAGTCGAGAGAACACTTCTATGTTAATATGACTAATCAACTCTGCTGTTTTTGAAAAAAATAAAGATTTAAAATTGAATACGTGTATGCTCCGATGTTAAACTTTGATCTCTTATTGTAGCCCCACCCTACCTTGGTGGCCATATTTTGAACAAACTTGAATCTACACTACCTGAGGATGGTTTCATATGAATGATAATAATAATGTCTTTGCTGTTCCGAAGAGGTTTTCCTATATATTCATGTTTAGAACTTTGACTAATATGGTCCCACAGTAGCCCTGAGGATCATAATTTGAACAAACTTAAATCTAACTACCTGAGGATGCTTCCACATAAATAAGGCTAGTCATGGCTTCGCTGTTTTTGAGAAGAGGATTTTCAAAGATTCTTTCCTATACATTCCTCTGAAGAATTTTGATTGTATATTGTGGCCCCAGCCTAGCTCCAAGGGTTATGATTTGAACAAACTTGAATTTTCACTACAAGTGTAACAAAGCCTTCTTACTGAAGTTTCCTCTTTTCGGCCCAGTGGTTCTTGAAAGATTTTTAAAAGATGCCATAAAATTTTCACTTATGCTTAACTACTGTATAGGGGGGAAATAACTTGCGGTGTTAATATTCGCTATATTCACGGTGTTAATAAATCCGTGAATTCAACAAACAGTGAACAAGTTTTCAATAACCTCCATGTTATATTTGGAAATTTGAAAATAAACTACCATAGGTATATATACGTGCAATACATGATCATTTCAGTAATTACGAGTTGTACTTGTCATTCAATTATTTTAATTATCACGCTTCACTTTAAGTTAAATAAGCAGATAATAACTTGTATTTGTTAAAAAGATCTTTAATAATAGCCAACGCTACATGTTTCATCAATCAAAACACGTATTAGTTTTTATCGACATTTTGGTTTTAAAAATCATTCAAATACATGTAACTATCGAACTTGCTGAAGATGTGGAAGGTTATTATTTCATCGACTTACATTAACACATTTCTTACGGTCCAGAAGTTTTTCGCCGCAGTGTATTATCCCTTCGGAAAGAAGATCTTGGGTGTACTTGCACTCATCGTAATAGCACAAAGGAAAGTCATTCAACGTTTATAGTCAAGGACTTTTAATAACTGCACTTGTTTTAATTAATCGCAATTAATTATTAAATCTAACTATTTTATGTAAACATACCATGTTGTTCGTGAAGTGATATGCTATGGATTAAACGGATATAGACAAGGGAGGTAACTTTTATTATATACCAATTCCGCGAATTCAACAAACTGCGATTGTGTCAGAAGAGAGAAAAATATGAAAATTACAACCCGTGAAATTAATCCCATATACAGTATCTCTACTTGAAAGAGGGCATGGACCCCATTTGAACATACTTGAATCATCCTTCATGGAAGGATGCTTTATGAAGGATGCTTTATGTGTGGGAAATTGGTCAATGATTCATGAGAAGAACAAAAATCTTAAAGTTTATAAATGATTAACAATGGACTACAGACGACAGACAGATGCCAGACATTCTTTGATCAGAATACCTTTTTTTGCTTAGTTGAGCTAAAAATGCCACATTTTCATGTTGTTTTCAATAAACAAGTGGTGATTATGGTATTTATGGTCCGAATACAGAGGTGTTTTGAATTTCCCAATTTCTGCAGTTTTGATATGTAATGTAGTGTTGGCAATACCTTAATTTAGTAAACAGCACTGGAATAGTACCAAGTAAACAAGATTCTTATTGACAGTCACTCATTTCTTTTTTCACATACAGCATTTAATGTTTTTAGGACTGACGATACGTTCCTCATATATCTGATTTTGTATCTCTTTGTAACATATTAAAAATATTTAAATTGACTAATATCTTTTGATTTCTTAATCGTTTTCAAAACATCTTTAAAGATATGAACACCAACAAGAGGCCCATGGGCCACATCACTCACCTGAGTAACTTTGGCCATGCTGTTCTTTACCAGATTCCCCCCCTTTTAATATACCTATTGTGGCCCCGCCCTACCCACGGGGGTCATGATTTGAACAATTGATGCTTCCACCTAAGTTTCAACTTTTCTGGCCCAGTGGTTCTTGAGAAGATTTTAAAAGATTTTTCCTATATATTTCAATGTAAAACTTGGATTCCTTATTTTGGCTCCGCCCTACCCCCAAGGGTCATGATTTGAACAAATTAGAATCAACACTATCCCAGGATGCTTCCATATAAGTTTCAGTTTTTCTGGCCCAGTGGTTCTTGAAAAGAAGATTTTTAAAGATTTTTCTTATATATTTCAATGTAAAACTTGGATTCCCTATTGTGGCCCCGCCCTACCCCAGGGGGTCATGATTTGAACAATTTAGAATCTACACTACCCCAGGATGCTTCCACATAAGTTTCAGCTTTTCTGGCCCAGTGGTTCTTGAGAAGAAGATTTGTAAAGATTTTTCTTATGTATTTCAATGTAAAACTTGGATTCCCTATTGTGGCCCCGCCCTACCCCCGAGGGTCATGATTTGAACAATGGATGCTTCCACATAAGTTTCAGCTTTACTGGCCCAGTGGTTCTTGAGAAGAAGATTTTTTAATGACCCACCCAATTTTTGTATTTTCTTGATTATCTCCCCTTTGAAGGGGACTTGGCCCTTGATTTTAACAATTTAAACTCCCCTTCACCCAAAGATGTTTGTTCCCCTTCACCCATAGATGCTATATGCCAAATTTAGTTGAAATTGGTTGAGCAGTTTCAGAGAACAAGCTAAAAATGTTCAAATGTTAACGCACATCGCACGACGCACGTCGAACGCCGACGGACAAAAACGGATAGCAATAGGTCACCTGAGTGACTCAGGTGACCTAAAAATACCGGTAAAATACCGTTTCATTTAATACCGGTACTAATAACGGTACTTCTTAATCTTTAAAACATTTTAATACATTCAATTTGATTAAAAAAAAAAAAAACAAGAGGCCCATGGGCCACAGCGCTCACCTGAGTAATCTTGGCCTTGCTGTTTTTCACCTGATTCCCCCCCCCCCCCCCCCCCCCGTAGTACTTATTGTGGCCCGGCCCTACCCCCAGGGGTCATGATTTAAACAATTAGAATCTACACTACCCCTGAATGCTACCACATAAGTTTCAACTTTTTTGGCCCAGTGGTTCTTGAGAAGATTTTTAAAGATTTTTCCTATATATTTCAACGTAAAACTTGGATTACCTAATGTGGCCCCGCCCTACCCCCGGGGGTCATGATTTGAACAATTTACAATCTACACTACCCCTGAATGCTACCACATAAGTTTCAACTTTTTTGGCCCAGTGGTTCTTGAGAAGATTTTTAAAGATTTTTCCTATATATTTCAACGTAAAACTTGGATTACCTAATGTGGCCCCGCCCTACCCCCGGGGGTCATGATTTGAACAATTTACAATCTACACTACCCCAGGATGCTTCCACATTAGTTTCAGCTTTTCTGGCCCAGTGGTTCTTGAGGAGAGTATTTTTAAAGATTTTTACTACATATTTCAATGTAAAACTTGGATTCCCTATTGTGGCCCCGCCCTACCCCCGGGGGTCATGAATTGAACAATTTACAATCTACACTACCCCAGGATGCTTCCACTTAAGTTTCAGCTTTTCTGGCAAAGTGGTTCTTGAGAAGAAGATTTTTAAAGATTTTTACTACATATTTCAATGTAAAACTTGGATTCCCTATTGTGGCCCCGCCCTACCCCCGGGGGTCATGATTTGAACAATTTAGAATCTACACTACCCCAGGATGCTTCCACATAAGTTTCAGCTTTTCTGGCCTAGTGGTTCTTGAGAAGAAGATTTTTAAAGATTTTTACTACATGTTTCAATGTAAAACTTGGATTCCCTATTGTGGCCCCGCCCTACCCCCGGGGGTCATGATTTGAATAATTTACAATCTACACTACCCCAGGATGCTTCCACATAAGTTTCAGCTTTTCTGGCCTAGTGGTTCTTGAGAACAAGATTTTTAAAGATTTTTACTACATGTTTCAATGTAAAACTTGGATTCCCTATTGTGGCCCCATCCTACCCCCGGAGGTCATGATTTGAACAATTTACAATCTACACTACCTCAGGATGCTTCCACATAAGTTCCAGCTTTTCTAGCCCAGTGGCTCTTGAGAAGAAGATTTTTAAAGATTTTTACTACATGTTTCAATGTAAAACTTGGATTCCCTTATTGTGGCCCTGCCCTACCCCCCGAGGTCATGATTTGAACAATTTACAATCTACACTACCCCAGGATGCTTCCACCTAAGTTTCAGCTTTTCTGGCCCAGTGGTTCTTGAGAAGAAGATTTTTTAATGACCCACCCAATTTTTGTATTTTCTTGATTATCTCCCCTTTGAAGGGGACTTGGCCCTTGATTTTAACAATTTAAACTCCCCTTCACCCAAAGATGCTTTGTACCAAGTTTGGTTAAAATTGGCCCAGTGGTTCTTGAGAAGAAGTCGAAAATGTGAAAAGTTTACAGACGGACGGACAGACGGACGGACAGACGGACGGACGGATGGACAACGGACAACGGGTGATCAGAAAAGCTCACTTGAGCTTTCAGCTCAGGTGAGCTAAAAAAACATGCCAAACTTGCTTAAATCGAATTCTCCGCTCACTGAAAGGGTAGGCTAACTACATGTAACGAAATGGATTCTTAGAATGATACTTACTTTCGACTGCCGATATTCGAGGTAAATCAATACGTATATATTTTTTTTAAAAATCAAAATACATTCACATGAATCTTATTTTAATATTACAAGTAAAAACTGATAATAAATGTAAATTAAAAAGGCAAAATGTCGCAAAAAATGTGATCTATCCATTATCTAATGATTCGTCATTTAGTGTGACCAAACAAACGGGGTCCTGGCAACCGGGGGAAGAAGTCAGCCGATTGGTGCAAATTAATTTGTTTGGGATTCGATTGATTTGTTTTGTTGATGATTATTAAAAGGTTGAAATGAAATGTTTGTAATTTGAATATTAGGAATATCTGTTTTTATATCTTAAAAGCATGGAACAAAGTTTATAAGCTCATTTTAGATTATATCATTGAAAGGTTAGTGAATGGTAAAAGCACATTTGTTATAAAATTAACCCTCATTCTTATTCATCAATGCATAGTACCGTATTGTTAAAAATACCGTATCGTTTCAAAAATACCGGTATGGTATCGTACCGTTTCATCCTTAACGGTATCCAACCCTACCCCCGGGGGTCATGATTTGAACAATTTAGAATCTACACTACCCCAGGATGCTTCCATATCAGTTTCAGTTTTTCTGGCCCAGTGGTTCTTGAGAAGAAGATTTTTTTAAGATTTTTCTTATATATTTCAATGTAAAACTTGTATTCCCTATTGTGGCCCCGCCCTACCCCCAAGGGTCATGATTTGAACAAGTAAGATTCTACACTACCCCAGGATGCTTCCACATAAGTTTCAGCTTTTCTGGCAAAGTGGTTCTTGAGAAGAAGATTTTTAAAGATTTTTCTTAAGTATTTCAATGTAAAACTTGTATTCCCTATTGTGGCCCAGCCCTACCCCCGGGTCATGATTTGAACAATTTAGAATCTACACTACCCCAGGATGCTTCCATGTAAGTTCCAGCTTTTCTGGCCCAGTGGTTCTTGAGAAAAAGATTTTTCTTTTATATTTCAATGTAAAACTTTGATTCCCTATTGTGGCCCTGCCCTACCCCCAGGGGTCATGATTTTAACAATTAAGAATCTACACTATCCCAGGATGCTTCCACATAAGTTTCATCTTTTCTGGCCCAGTGGTTCTTGAGAAGAAGATTTTTTAATGACCCCACCCCATTTTTGTCTTTTCTTGATTATCTTCCCTTGTAAGGGGACTTGGCCCTTTATTTTAACAATTTACACTCCCCTTTACCCAAGGATACTTTGTATCAAGTTTGGTTAAAATTGGCTTAGTGGTTCTTGAGAAGAAGTTGAAAATGTGAAAAGTTTACAGACGGACGGACGGACAGACGGACAGACAGACGGACGGACAAGCTCACTTGAGCTTTCAGCTCAGGTGAGCTAAAAATTGTGATATCAGCAACTCCAGTCATATCCATTTGCATTATAAAGGAAATACATCCTCAGGTATCTTGCACAAATGCCCGGTATCATGTACCTTAATTTGATGTGTGAAAACTTGTTAAGGTATCAATACTTCAATCACAAGTTCTCGGAAAAATTATATGAAAATGAGGAACGTCTCATTTGACCTTAATCAAAACATTTAGTCCTTTATGTATATAATAATGTATATTTCCTATGTAAAATTCACAAACCTCTGTGAGTCCATCCCCTGAAGATGGAACCTTCCTGGCTACACACTTCTTCTCCAACCTTATCATCAAATCTTTTCTCCATATTCAGCACCAGAATGAAGAATGCTCTTGGACTCAGGAAAATCTGGTGTGATGCATAATATGCACATTGTCCCGCAAAGTCGACCATGGTGATTCTTTTTTCAATATCCTCGGATATATTTCTGGAAACCCGTAAAATTCCCAAACTATCTAAATTCTCTGCAACATTTTGATTTTCTTTAAGATTTTCCTCTGCTTTTTCTGGAAATGCAGCAGCCCCTTGATTTTCTTTAACTTCTCCCCATGCTTCCTTCAAGGATGCAACATCCTTTTTCCTTTTAAATACCTTTTCGAACCCAGTTTCAGTAGCACCAACCTTTTTTACGAATAATGTTTCTATGTTTACATAGTCATGTACCATGTATTCATCAAAACCTTCTTTACTGGCAGCTCTGTTTTTTATAAATACTGTTTTTATGTTCACATAGTCATGTATCATCTCTTCTTCATAAACTGTTTCACTAAGAGGGTTTTTGTCATCCCCCGAATCATTAGTATCCAGTGCTTTTATTTCACAAGATTCTGAAACATTGTCATGTTGACTTGTTTCATCAATTTTAACCTTAAAGCGTTGTTTTTGGTTTGATAAATTTGCTGTAAAAATATTAATACATCAATGATGGATAATTTTTCAAGTGAATTTCTTTTTTCAAACAACAGATATTTAAGAAAATACGAAATAGGAAAATAAGGAGTTCATATGCACGTACATGTATATTATAATAAAGTTAACAGAGATCTATAGCAGCTTTACCTCATAATATAAAATTTATATATTCTTTGAAAAGTGAATACATGGACATATTTATTACAATTAAATGAAGTTATGACATTTTCAAGTGAAATACAGGAATATTTTTACAGTGAAAATAACAGAAGTTAATATTTTCACCACTGAACTGTGGTAAAGCACTCGATTTTCCTTCATTTACAGTGCAGGGAACTAATTTTGTTACATAAACCAGCATAAGCATTAGTAGCATCAGGATTGAGCTAGCATCAGCATCAGCATTTAAAAAAAAGCATTACCAGGATCAGCATCAGCAAGCAAAGGATAAAACAAGCATTGGCCTACATAAAATCAGCATTATCCTACTAGCATCAGAAAATCAATGAGTTTTAATTCAGTAAAAAATTAAAAAAGAAAGAAAGAATATTGGTTAAAGTATTCACATTATTAATACATAGTGAGTTATTATGATCAAATAATTGTAAAAGGCACTTTTATTGCTTTAAACGGCAATGCTGAAATTCATTATCTACTTCCGGTAGCTTGATACTACTTCCGGTAGCATTGACCCAATTATAAAACAGCATCAGGATAAGGATAACTAGCATTAAATCAGCAAGTAAAGGAAGCATTCAAATCAGCATTGATGCTGTAACAAAATTAGTTTCCTGCACTGTATAAATAGTCGGAGTATGTTTTATAAGAAAAAACTCCATATTGAATGAAGTGAAATAATCATCATGGATACGGAATAAAACTGCAAATTAAGTTTCTCAAAATTGTTGATACAATCCATGTTAACAATTTTCAATTTCATAATGGATTAAATATGAGTCTCAACTGCTCAACTATGACGTCACATCCTATGTAAGGGCATTACAAAAGACTTGGGCAAAAGAATACCCAAAAGAAAATGAAATAAAGAAAAAATAAACAGCTTTGTAATTAGACTTAGAATTTATTTTATTTGTGGACCATGATTTTAAAAAAAAATTTTTTTTCTTGTTCTTTTGCACCAGTGAAAAAAAAATCCTGTTTGACTTTGAAATATTTCAACATCGAACTGCAAACAATGAATACTTTCTATATTTACTTCAATTTTATATTCTTATATAGTTTATAATCATTATTTCAAGCATTTAAAAATCGATACAAATCAGAAGATATGTATTTACTTGTAATGGTGTCTGACACGTCAAAAACGTCTGTCTGAACTTCGATTCCTCTGGTTGATGTTGTATTTTTCAGAATTTCTTCCAAGTCGATCCCTTTTAATCTCCCCAGTAATGTTGATTTACCACTACCTGCACATCCTATTATCATGCCAGAGGCGTGGTACATCACCGTCTTCCCTTTCTTTAGATTTTTTATGAAATTCTGTACTGAGTCGTCCCCTCTTAATATAATCTGCACTGGTATGCCAACTAAAAAGAGAGTACTTACATGTACATAAACTTTATTCTTATGTGAATGAAAGGTCACAAGAAATGTTTGAAAAACATATATATGCCCCCATGTGGCGATATTAACAAGAGGCCCATGGGCATTGATGGTCACTTGAGTATACTGTACTTTTTATTCACGAGAACTTTATTTTCACCTAATTACGCTAGACTGTCTCCTCGCAAAAATTTCCTTCTTGCATATATGGATATATAGGACGATAGTCAGAACTTGTGAAAATTTTGTTTCCCTTATAAATACCACATACCCATCTCGGAAATAAAGTGTCGCGAATATTTGGTGAACAGCAGTAATACAACACTGTAAAGGATCCATAGAAGTATGAAATAAAGCAAAGTTTTGACATTGGCTGTGTTTTTTTTCTACTAAACCAACTACGAAATTGATTTGAATCCCAGTTTTGTTAAACATAGAAATTGACAGGAGGAACTTGCACAACAAGAGGTCCATGGGCCATATCGCTCACCTGAGTAACTTTGGCCATGCTGTTCTTTACCAGATTTCCCCCCTTTTTTAATATACCTATTGTGGCCCCGCCCTACTCACGGGGGTCATGATTTGAACAGTGGATGCTTCCACTAAAGTTTCACCTTTTCTGGCCCAGTGGTTCTTGAGAAGAAGATTTTAAAAGATTTTTCCTATATATTTCAATGTAAAACTAAGATTCCCTATTGTGGCTCCGCCCTACCCCCGGGGGTCATGATTTGAACAATTTAGAATCTACAATATCCAAGGATGCTTCCATATAAGTTTCAGCTTTTCTGGCCCAGTTGTTCTTGAGAAGAAGATTTTTAAAGATTTTTCTTATATATTTCAGTGTAAAACTTGGATTCCCTATTGTGGCCCCACCCTACCCCCGGGGGTCATGATTTGAACAATTTAGAATCTACACTACCCCAGGATGCTTCCATGTAAGTTTCTGCTTTTCCAGCCCAGTGGTTCTTGAGGAGAAGATTTTTAAAGATTTTTCTTATGTATTTCAATGTAAAACTTGGATTCCCTATTGTGGCCCCGCCCTACCCCCTGGGGTCATGATTTGAACAATGGATGCTTCCACTTAAGTTTCATCTTTTCTGGCCCAGTGGTTCTTGAGAAGAAGATTTTTAAAGATTTTTTCTTACATATTTCAATGTAAAACTTGGATTCCCTATTGTGGCCCCGCCCTACCCCCGGGGGTCATGATTTGAACAATTTAGAATCTACACTACCCCAGGATGCTTCTATATAAGTTTCAGCTTTTCTGGCCCACGTGGCTAGGATAATGCTGTCCGAAGAATGTCACAGTTTACCAGCCGTAGTAACTTCTCGGAACTACCTAGATATGACGTCATAATGGCATATGATGTCAAGTCACTGCATACTTGAGCTGACATGACGGGGAAAGTGTCATAACTTTTACATTCTTTTCACATCACATGTAGATTTTTTTTTACGTTGATGTTTAATTCATGTGTCTGGATTGTTGTTTAAGGCTGTAATGATGGTGAATATTTGCAGTATAATATCGTTATTACTTTTTCTTGTCTAACATGTACGTATTCAAACAATTGAAAAAAAAGAATGTGAAATGTTCCTTACGTGTCTGTCGACAGAGTTAGATTCTATAAATCTTTTATATATTAGACTGGCACAAGTGAATAATAAGGATTAATTGAAGATATTCTGTGTGAATCTACTTGAGAAATATGTCCTCTTAAACTGAATTTTGCTGGGGGACTGTATGTAATTTATCCTGTTTTGTATAAATTGCGATGAAGAGTGGAAATGACCCCTTGTATGTGGTTAAGTTGATTTTCTCGTGAAATATTTTCTTATGAAATAAAATTCAGACTTGCCCCCAGCACTTTATATATACCCAAGAATACGTTTAATTGATTTATGTAACAAGCCGTTCACAATAATTTTGTTTTTCACTTGTGCCAATGTGATTTTTGTGCAACATTTAAAAAAATTCATAAGTGTCCGTCAAGTGATCAACACAGTCATGTGACTTCACAGAAATGCTTTTTTGCAATACCTTATTCAACTTTCTTTACAACTTAACTGTGTATGTATACATAGATTACAAATTGAAATCAAAATATTGCTCAATATAAAATAGTATATATTTAATGCATAATCCTTCAGACAACCTTAACCTAGCTGCGCAGTGGTTCTTGAGAAGAAGATTTTTAAAGATTTTTCTTATTTATTTCAATGTAAAACTTGGATTCCCTATTGTGGCCCCGTCCTACCCCCGGGGGTTATGATTTGAACAATTTTGAATCTACACTACCCCAGGATACTTTTGTATAAGTTTCAGCTTTCTGGCCCAGTGGTTCTTGAGAAGAAGATTTTGAAGATTTTTCTTATATATTTAAATGTAAAACTTGGATTCCGTATTGTGGCTCCGCCCTACCCCAGGGGGTCACGATTTGAACAATTTAGAATCTACACTATCCCAGGATGCTTCCACATAAGTTTCAGCTTTTCTGGCCCAGTGGTTCTTGAGAAGAAGATTTTTTAAGATTTTTCTTATGCATTTCAATGTAAAACTTGGATTCCCTATTGTGGCCCCGCCCTACCCCGGGGGGTCATGATTTGAACAATTTAGATTCTATACTACCCCAGGATGCTTCCATATAAGTTTCATCTTTTCTGGCCAAGTTGTTCTTGAGAAGAGGATTTTTTAATGACCCAACCCTATTTTTGTCTTTTCTTGATTATCTCCCCTTGTAAGGGGACTTGGCTCTTTATTTTAATAATTTACACTCCCCTTTACCCAAGGATACTTTGTACCAAGTTTGGTTAAAATTGGCCCAGTGGTTCTTGAGAAGAAGTTGAAAGTGTGAAAAGTTTACAGACGGACAGACAGACGGACCGACGACCGACAATGGGTGATCAGAAAAGCTCACTTGAGCTTTCAGCTCAGGTGAGCTAAAAGTGATGTCATGATGAGGCTAATGAAATGATCACTAAAATTAAATGATATAGGAAAGCAAAAAATTTAAATCTTCAGTATAGTTTTAGTTGTGTTAAACATTTTAAATGTAAATATAAGGAATGTTTTTTCTTTAGTTTGTGAATGTTATATTGGTGTGAAAATCACACAGACTTGCACTTAGGCATATTTTCATGAAGTGCTAACCCAATAACAGAAAAGAAGATATTTAAAGAAATTATGCAATTTCACTATTTGATTTACAGAGCCCCACACTAGCACAAAAACCCCTCACCCTTGGGCCATGAATTTTATAATTTTGGTAGAGGGCTAAATGCTTATTACATTCATGCTAACAGTTTGACTTCTTGATGTCCAGGAGTAAAGAAGATTTTTTAAAGATTGCATTGATTTTGATGGTTTAGCCCCGGGTACAAGTGATTTCGGCACCTGGTTAATTCGGCACCTTAAAGAAAAGTGAATTCGGCACTCAATGAATTCGGCACCTGGTGAATTTGGCATAAGAATCAGGTGAATTCGACACCAATTTGAATTAATTCGGCAACTGTCTTTAATTGAATTATTTGTATTAAAAAAATGTGCATCTGAAGAAACACCAATCTTGATTTTTGTAACATATTTTAGCAGTAAATAGAAGAAAATTTAATGTAAGTGTATATATTTGGAATTATGGGTTGTCTTCTGCTTGACCAAAAAATGTATATAACCATTTTTTTTAAATGCTTGTCCATAATAATTGTATTACTATTCAAAATTGTTATATATTAGGCAATTTTTTATGCGAGCATGTTGAAGTACAGAAAGCGAAAAAGTGGATGCATTGTCAAACAACGAATTTTTGACCAAGGAAGATATAATATTATTTCTCAAGTGGATAATTGTAGCAATGTCCTTTTTTCAAATATTTAATCGGAGCTCATAATTCACAATTTATTTACAGACAAAATTACCAACAAAATTGTCTCACTCAAAAAATTAAATCTCATACTATAATCCAGGAAGTATTTGCATTTAATAGAAAAAAATGTGACATATATTTTGTACATTAAATAATATTCATACAAACATAACAAAATTTGAAGCCATTCTCGTATTATTATTTTTTTTTTAGCTCAGATATGCCATATATAGCTTTAAGAAAAAAAAAACCATTTTCGGCTAAGAATGTTGTAACCAAGTACAGGCCTCAAAACCATAAACTGAGAACAGACTAATAAGTCAAAATTTCAAATGAAAATAACTTCTGAAATAATTTTGATAATCACACAAAATTTTCATCAAGTGTTTGTATTTAAATGTTATATGAACATGGAATTTTTTTTATACATGTATGAAAAATAAAAAATAAAAAATTCCAGGATATTTGAAAAATGACTCTATAAAGTCCTGCACTCTATACCTAAAAAGTTTCAGCATTTTGTACTGTAAGAAGGAAATCTTTTTTTTCTCAATGAAATTCCTGCTTGAACAAGTGTGAATGGGGCTTAAGTTCTGCAGCCTGTAACAAAACTACAGATATGTTTTCTTTGAATATTTTTGGAGCTAGTCCAATGATTTTGAGAAAAAGAAAAAATAAAGGAAAAGGAGAAGTGGGTCGACCACCATCATGAATTAAAAGCCGGGCTCTTTTTTCATGTGAAAATTATAATATCACTGTTTGAATGCTCAATAAATGCTGTATTTTTGACACCTTTGTAAACTGTAATAAGTAACATACACAGACAAAAATGAAAGAAAAATGTTTGATGAAGATAATTATCAAAAACATTTTAAAAAAATTTCTTAGTATTCATAATATTCTTTATAATTTATAACTAGATGCCAACTATACCAGGTGCCCAGGTGCCGAATATACCAAGTGCTGAATTCACTTTACTTGGTGCCGAATTCACCAGGTGCCGAGTTTACCAGGTGCCAAATTGACTAGAATTCTTAAGCCCCTTCCCTCAGGATCCGGGAGGGGGGGGGGGGGGGGGCATATGCAAAAAATTAGTTGAAACTGGTTCAGTGGTTCAAGGGAAGAAGCTGAAAATGTTTAAATGATAACGCACGACGCATGTCGCACGATGACATACGAAAACGGTTAGCAATATAGGTCACCTGAGTGACTCAGGACACCTAGAAAGAGAACAACTAGGATTTAGAATGTTTGTCCTATTTGTGAAAACAATTAGTAATCTAGTAGTCATGGGAAAACATAAAACTAAGCAAAACCATGACCTTCCAATCATGGAGCAACGCTCTACAATGACTGACTTGAAAAGGGAGATAATTGTGAACATGTGTAATTAACTAATCAGACTACAAGAAATTTTAAAGTTGGTTGGCTATGGCAGTGTGGGCAATCATTTCAATTTTATAAATATTTTTTTTATCTTGTATATGTGATTCGTGCAGAGATTTTTTTACAACATTGTAGATTAACAATTAAACTATACTTCCCTTCACCCAAAAATACTTAAGTTTACAAACGGACAGACAGTTAGAAAGACAGTCTGACGCCAAACAAAATGTGATCAGAAATGCTCACTTGAGCTTTCAGCTCATGTGAGCTAACAAAAACAGTTGAGAGGCATACCATAGCTAAATACAGATGCATGTATTGATGTGTCCAGCCATGTTGGGTGTGTGAAGATACCTTCTCCAAGTTTTTCAATCAATTTGTCGGTTTGCTGTGGTGATATCCAGCAAAAGACTTCTTCTTCTTCCTTTGGATAAGCCCATGATCTGCAGTACTCAGCTATATTTTCTTTTTCGGCCAGATTTAGAAAAATATCCATATATGTTGGATCTCTCACAAATCTAAGAAAACTGGTGTGCTTGAAGAATTCACAAGAAAATGTGACTTCAGAACCATCCTGTTTGAGAACTGGTGTGTACTCTTGTAAATTGGTAAGACTTGACTCCTCAATCTTCTTTAAATCTAAAATGTCTGCAGTAGCGTTATACTTCATTATCCATTGTTCTTCATTCAGATTTATTTTGTATGAAGGGCAGAGGAGAAGACACATCAGAACTGCATCTCCATCTGTATCAGAAAAATACATGCAAAAAGTGGATATTTAAATCAGCAAAACTAAACTGAGTCAACATATTTCTTGCCATGTAATACTTTGACTTCCCATGGTGTCTCAACTAAAATCCATGGGGGCATTTATTTGTAAACAATTGAATCTACAACAACTGGGTTTCGGATTTTGATATGAAGAATAATGGCCATTTTGACCTTCGTTCATTTTACAATAATATTATTAATAATCATTCATCATGTTTACATAGTAAAATGAGCTAGGACTTGAAACTCAGGGTTCACCAGATAACCTAAATGCACTTCAAAGGTACATTGGAGACCCAAAGGCAACAGCACTCACCTGAATCACCTTGACTCTGCTGCTCTTCCACACAAGATATTTAAATTTGTTCCCCTCTTTATTACTCTAAATAATTTGGACCCTGAATTGTGGTTCCACCCCATCCAAAACGGATTATGATTTAACTAAACTTCAATTCACACATAAAGGATGATTTCTTGGAGGACCAACATAACATAATAAAATGGATATAAATGACCCTTTTATAGCCGTAACAAAAAACAAGTAATATATTTTTTTTCATTTTGCTATACATTCTAAACAAACTTTTCATACAATTTCTTGATTTCATGACTAGGGCTGTCATTGAGTACTCGGTTTTTGCTCAGTTATACTGATCGACTATCTTTTACTTGGTTACTTGTTAACCAGAAGTCTCTGACAAGACTGTAGCTCTACTGGTTGTATTTATAAAGGAAGATAAAAGTAGCACTTGCACTTGAAACTTTGCAACAGCAATAAATAGAATAATGATCCTTGGTTTAGTCTCTTTTGTGGCAAGATTTATTATTATATCAGACTAAAACTGTAGGAGGAGTAGCCTTTTAAAACAGTTTTACAGAAATTTTGATTTAAGTAACCATGGCAACATCATTCAACAAAATCAAAAAACAATAACACCAATTATGTATCTCTGTAGTCTACTTGTATACCACATTATACTGAAATCAGACAAAAAGTGTAGGAGGAGTAGCGTTTTGAAAGTATTTCACAGAAATTTCTATTTTTAGTAACCATGGCAACACCGTTCATCGAAATCCTAAACTGGTAAAGAGAATTATGTACCTTATTATAGTCTACTTGTGTGCCAAGTTATATTGAAATCAGATAAAAAGTGTAGGAGGAGTAGCATTTTGAAAGTATTTCACAGAAATTTCTATTTTTAGTAACCATGGTAACACCGTTTATCGAAATCAAAAACCGATATACAGAATTATGCATCTTAGTATAGTCTACTTGTGTGCCAAGTTATATTGAAATCAAATCAAAACTGTACGAGGAGTAGCGTTTTGAAAGTATTTCACAGAAATTTCTATTTTTAGTAACCATGGCAACATCATTCAACAAAATCAAAAAACAATAACACCAATTATGTATCTCTGTAGTCTACTTGTATGCCACATTATACTGAAATCAGACAAAAAGTGTAGGAGGAGTAGCGTTTTGAAAGTATTTCACAGAAATTTCTATTTTTAGTAACCATGGCAACACCGTTCATCGAAATCCTAAACTGGTAAAGAGAATTATGTACCTTATTATAGTCTACTTGTGTGCCAAGTTATATTGAAATCAGATAAAAAGTTTAGGAGGAGTAGCATTTTGAAAGTATTTCACAGAAATTTCTATTTTTAGTAACCATGGCAACACCGTTCATCGAAATCAAAAACCGATACACAGAATTATGCATCTTAGTATAGTCTACTTGTGTGCCAAGTTATATTGAAATCAGATCAAAACTGTACGAGGAGTAGCGTTTTGAAAGTATTTCACAGAAATTTCTATTTTTAGTAACCAAGGCAACACCGTTTATCGAAATCAAAAACCGATACACAGAATTATGCATCTTAGTATAGTCTACTTGTGTGCCAAGTTATATTGAAATCAGATCAAAACTGTAGGAGGAGTAGCGTTTTGAATGTTTTTCACAGAAATTTCTATTCTTAGTAACCATGGCAACACCGTTCATCGAAATCAAAAATTGATACACAGAATTATGTATCTTAGTGTAGTCTACTTGTGTGCCAAGTTATATTGAAATCAGACCAAAACTGTAGGAGGAGTAGCATTTTGAAAAATTGTTTACAGACGGACGGACAGACAGACAGCTAGACAGACGGACGAACGACGGACACCTTACTATCGCATAAGCTCTGACCAGTAGAGCTAAAAAGGAGCTATTTTTAAATCTATAATTCAAGGTACATGTACCAGGTTTCTCTTCTATCATGGAGTGAATGAACCTTAAAGTTGAGGTCAAAGACACAATTATTTAAAATCTATCAAGTTTAACTTAAAATGTTTTTTTTTTTCATAAAGTACATTGGGTAAACAAGATGTGTTTGTGAAACACTGATGCCCCCGTATGGCAGCTTATGGCGAAGATTAAAGTTTCTCAAATGAAAGTCAAAATCCAGGCCAAAAAATAAAAAAAATGTTAAATTTGAAAGCCCTAGCTGCAACTGTTCAAAAGTTATGGCGAAGGTTAAAGTTTTTTTAAAGTAAGTAAAACATCAAGGTCAAGGTCAAAGTTGTTGGTATCCAAAGGAAGGTCTTGTCACAAGGATTACATATGTAAAGTATGAAAGCCCTAGCACCAACCATTCAAAACTTATGGCCAAGGTTAAAGTTTTTCGAAAGTAGGTCAAACTCCTAGGTCAAGGTCAAAGGGTCAAAGTGGTTGGTTATCCAAAGGAAGGTCTTGTCACAAGGATTACATTTGTGAAGTATGAAAGCCCTATCTCCAACCATTCAAAAGTAATGGCCAAGGTTAAAGTTTTTCAAAAGTAGGTCAAACTCCTAGGTCAAGGTCAAAGGATCAAAGTGGTTGGTATCCAAAGGAAGGTCTTGTCACAAGGATTACATATGTGAGGTATGAAAGCCCTAGCTCCAACCATTCAAAAATTATGGCCAAGGTTAAAGTTTTTCAAAAGTAGGTCAAACTCCTAGGTCAAGGTCAAAGGGTCAAAAAGGTTGATATCCAGAGGAAGGTCTTGTCACAGGAAATACACATGTGACATTTGAAGCCCCAAGCACCAACTGTTCAAAAGTAATGGCCAAGGTTAAAGTTTTTCAAAAGTAGGTCAAACTCCAAGGTCAAGGTCAAAAGGTCAAAGTTGTTGGTATCCAAAGGAAGGCCTTGTCACAAAGAATATACATGTGAAGTTTGAAACCCCAAGCACCAACTGTTCAGAAGTTATGGCCAAGGTTACTGTCTCATAAAATTTTGCAAAAGTGGGTCAAACTCCAAGGTCAAGGTCAAATGGTCAAATATGATGGTACCCAAAGAAAGGTCTTGTCACAAGGAATACACATGTGAAATATGAAAGACATAGCTCCAACCAATCAAAAGTTATGGGCAAGGTTAAAGTTGACAACAGACAGACAGACAAACAGACAAACAGATAAACAGACAAACAGACAGACAGGACAAAAACAATATACCCCCCGGGATCTTTCGATCTGGGGGCATAAAAATCTAAGTCACATTTTCCATTGCTACAAACCTTTAATCTTGTGAATGTCATGAAATAATTTCTCAACATCTCTAACATCATGTCTTCTATGATCATCAGAGGTCATGATGCATTCCTCACACAAGGTAACCTCACACGGGATACAGAACTGAGATACTGGATATCTGGGATGCTTCTTGCACTTCATGTTCTGTAGAGGGAGACCTTTAATAAGAAATTAAACTAAGTCTAAAAAAGAACTCTGCCATAAAATCTAATTTGAAATTATACATGGTCCAAGCATCAAAATGTCATGGCCCAAACAACATTTAACTTCTCAGTCAGGTGACTGTGACTTAAACAAACAACTTTGGCACAAAATCATAACATACTTCTTGGACACAATCAAATGTATACCAAGTATGACCTGAAAATCCTCTAGTAATTTTTTTGGTCTTTTTGAAGTTATTATAAAATCAAATAACCAATAAGAATTTTACACTTCAAATATTGTGACCTTGACCTTGTCCACATGACAATGGTGTTTTGGGCTAGTACACACCCTCAGGTCAAAAGCATCATTTGTATCCTGTAGAGATCATCTATGAACAAAATATGTCTATACAGACAATGGGACAGCTAGACATGCAGGCATGGTGATTTCAGTATATGTATGAGTTTAAGTTTTTTATACTTCTACAAATGGTGTCGGAGGTCTGCATACAGGTTCTTTGACAAATGGAAAATTTCCCCTCATCTGTGCCATGCTGTACGTTATACTTACAGGGTACATGACTACTTAACAAGTCAGGAACATAATCACAACCCTTAATTTTTCACCATCAGTAATTTTAAATCTGACATTGTTATTCCATATGAATACTCTAATGACTTTGTTCTTATAACTGATTCAAATGCAAAAAACATAACATGTAGCATGAAGATGATAGACCTTAAGTATTTTAACCTTGTAGATTTCCTCAACACCTGCTACAGAAATACACAACATTCCCATAGACAGAACTTTGTTAATGTCAATGGTGTTTATATCTAACTGTCAACATGCCATATCGATCTCTGATCAGCCTCTGAATTCAATCCAGAGAAATACACAACATTCAGATGCACTACAGATGTATAAAGTTCAATCTGCATCAAATCAGTGTGTCAAAGACAAAAAAAGGTAAAAACAATATTGATCCTATTTACTGTCAATACAACTAAATAATCAAAACAATATCATTCTACATAATTTGTAATATTTGTAAGCTTCTCAGTCAAATTATTATACAATGCATGTACTATACAAGTACTAATTAATGAACAAATCAAACATGTAATTATATACATAAACCAATGACTACAGTATTCGTATTTAATTGATTTGTACTTCACTCCTTAAACATTCACTATAACTATATATATATACATGTATATATTCATTGATGATTTGTAATATTATACACTTTAAACAATGTTTATAATTATTCATTAATGACTTTCCCAATAGTTATTTAATTATCTTTATTATATTGTACACATGATATTGTATAACAACACAATTAATACACTACAGTGGTACTTACCGGTCAGAGAGTCTCCATCTATCACTCTGTATATGTTGACTGTGTTGTTGTACCATGACCCTACCCACAGTAGGTGTGTGGTATCATCATAACTCAGGCCCCCTGGTCTGTCTATCCCGTGTGGTGATGTCTGTATCTGTGACAGGAAGTTACCTTCTCTGTCTAATATCTGTACTGACTCGGTGTTATCACCACACACCAGGATGTGTGACAGCGCGTCAGTACAGATTCCACGTGGCCATAGTCGTGATCCTGATGGAGGTCCTGTGTAGGAGAAGTGATGACTTCCACCACGATCTGTCACCACTACAGCACCACGGTCCCAGTCAGACACAATAACATCTCCATTGCGGTTCTCTGTGATGTAGCTAGGTCTACTATACAGTCTCTGACCTGTGTTGTTGTTGTACTGTATGGTCTGGATGTGTTCTCCTGTGGAGTTATACCGCACTACCTTGCCTTCTCTATATGTATCAGCATTATACATCCCGACCAGCAGGTCTCCAGTGGAGGGGGAGCTGTAGACACTCAGTGGTCTCCATGGTGCTGTGTTGTACTTTATTAATGTAGTCTTTACTGTGTTCTCTGTAGACAGTTTGTTAATGTTATACTCCCTGTCTATATAAATTAATTCACCGTCATTGTTCACAGTGTGTACTCCATAATAACTACCTATATCTGTCAGATGATGTAGTTTATCACCTGCTGTGTTTGTCAAGATGAGATTGTTATAATCACTGATCCAGACCCGGTCTGATGATACACGGGTAATGTGCCATACACGACTAACACCTGTCACTGTGACAGATTTCTGTAACACTAATCTATACATCATTGACAGCAGACATTTATTTCATCTTTCTCCTGTGGTTTTACAACAGAATCCCGTGTTGATTTCCTCAGTCAAGGAGATCTCTCTGTAAATTACAACACAGTGTTATAATTATGTACATCAATAACATGACGTCTCTCTTTTCAATTATTATACTTCAGATCATTTAGCCTGGCTCTCTTTATACATTGTATTTAATGTATAAATTAACTAGATCAGTAATATGTGTCTCTTAATGCTCTATACAATATAATAGTATATATCTAAAATAATAATATTTACACTTTGAATCAATTGTATATCTACATCAGTAAAATATTTCTCTTTGCAATTTCTATATTTTAGATCAATATTAAAGGTTTTTTTTTTTTTTAACACTTTGTAACTATACTTTTCAGATCAATGTGGCCAAAAAAAGTTTATTTTCTCAGCTAGTCATCATCTTGTTACATTGTTACATGTAGGCTGATTAATTTTATAGTTGACATTTGACAAGGGGAATAACTCAAATTTCTATTTGAAGTTGAAAACAAAAATTGAGTTATTCCCCTTTTCATTATAAAATTTGGTGGCCAAAAAAAATCATGAAAATAAAGACCCTATCTGCTGCTTTTGTTTCAAATATTTTTGCTAAAGTTTTTCTTTTTTGCCCATTACCTGTCTCTTTACTCTGTAGACAAGCAACACAGGTGTTGAATCTTTAGACTGCATCTGTGATCAAGGAGATGTGGTCGCCTCTGGAGTGGAAGCTAATCAAAAGGAAAAAATTACAGAATCAGAACATCTTCATGTCAACCCTGAAGCATTATTATTCATCTAATATCAAATAAAAAATAAAATGCATCATTATAGGAATTCAAACTTACAGATTGTCATGTTTCAAATCCATTCAATTGCAATAATATTCTGTTCATTGAAATATTAAATATATCAAATTCATCTTGATTAAAAAATGAAAATATTAAATATATATTACATTTTCTACTGCCATTCAACTAGCTAATATGATATACACCACACAGAGCTAAGTACACATTCTGACTTGACACAGTTATTTAAAACAAGAATCCCATAGGTTACAATGCTCACCCTGTTGTCCTTCATAAGCTGATATATTTTTTTAAAAAAATATTCCTCTTTAATTTCAGAAAAATTTTACTTCACTTTGTTAACCAAAATCTAACTGCATCAAGATAGCTATATGATTTAATCAAAGTTGAAAAGAAAAAGAAAAAAAAAATTGGGATATACTTAAATATCAGTATGATCAACATGACCCTGTTGTTCTGGAGAAGCTTTTATCCTGTAAAATTTGGATATATCTGATTGAATCTAGACTACCTGAGGATGCTTGCATATCAATGTGACTAATAGTGACTTTGATGTTTAAGAAATGAAAAGATTTTTTCTATTATACTGTACACGTATATTTTTCTGAGTGGAATTAATTTCCACTATGTACATGGTCACAATTTGTCCAAAGAAATCTGACATAGCGTACTTAAAATTCATTATGGACAAAGAGAGACAATCCAAGAAATCTGTATAATTTTATACTCGCAGATTGAACAGAAATTGAGATTCCGAGGAATTATAACCTCATGGAAAAGAGTATGTTTACAGTATATTCTAAGACTTTATAAAATTTTAATCTAGCTCCTATTTTGTCCAAATCCTACCCCCAGGGGCATGATTTTAAGAAACTTGAATCTACATTAACATATCAATATGACTAATAATGACTTTGATGTTTGATGTAAGAAATTTTAAGATTTTTCCTACATATCCCTTAAGTTTATAAAACTTTGATCTCCCATTGTGGCATCATCCTACCCCCAGGAGCATATTTTGAACAAACTTGAATCTACAATATTAGAAAATGCTTCCATATGAATACGACTAATCATGGCTTTACTGTTCTTAGAAAATTTTTGTGTCGCCTGCAAAGCAGAGGATCACTTTAGCTGGTGTCTGTCTGTTTGTCTGTCACACCTTATTTCTCAAGAACTGTAAGAGGTATGGGTTTGATATTTTGCATATAAATTGCTTGGTATTATGGCTTTTGTAATTTACCATGGTTACTAACCTCATGGCTCTTGACCTTGACCTTGGACATACTTTTCAAAATAGTTCATAGTGCTTTAGTAACATACAGCATATTGTTTTACCTTTAAGAGGTAAGTTAATGCTATTTAGCATGTGCACTGTTTGTCATAAAACATTATAAAAAATACCAGCTTTACAATTAATCCACTTGACCTTGACCTTTGACCTACTTTGCAAAAAATGCCCCGGACAGTTTAACTTGAATCTTTTAAATTTTGAGAGGCAGGGTTTTGATAATTAGCATTTATACATGTTCTTGAGCTCATGATACTGTACTTTGAAAATGTATGATATTCAGTTACCACATTAACTTATATTTAACATGTTTAAATTCTGTGAAAATACATGTTGACTGACAATTGCAGTAAAGACAGACTGAAATCTCTTTTAGAGGATTGATGGATACATGTATTAATAAACTGATAACAATTGTTTCTAATAATTTCAATTTAATTATTCATTTGAGGGTTGGGAAGCTACATTTTCTTTGATTGACAGATTCTATCTCCATCTTATACTATTCATGGTTGTTTTTTTTTCTTTACAGGCAAATGCATGAACTATAATGTTAGTAGTTAATAAATAGACACTTAGATTCATTTACGTCTTCAATTAAGCTTCAAGGCAGGCAACACATGCATTCCTTGGAACACTCTAGTTCAACATATTTCCTATAAATTCTTATGTAAAACTTTGATCCCATGTTTAAGCCCTAGGGTTCCCCATGAGGTCATGATTTAAGCAAATCTGAATCTACACTACAAGAGGATGCTTCTTATGGAAAGCCAACATGTTTAAAATTCCAACTTTGTAATTCTTTTCAACGACATATACACCGTCGTGTAAAACTTATATGTAGATTGTAAATCATAATTTCATAATTTGTCAAGTGTTCTCTCACAATTTGTTAACTAAATATCATTGAGATGGTGCCCATCTCAAAGGGCCCCGCTTTCAGTAACGAACATGAAAATGTAAGGTAGCTGAAAAGGGTTTATTTTGAAGAGGAACATTTGTGTACTATTAAGGGATGTGTTGTTTGAGTCTAAAGGGCTTCTATGTCATCCTTGTTATAATAAAAAATGGCACGAAAATCACGAGTGCTCCATACCCTCTATCAAAAAACGGCACAAAAATCACGAATGTTGCATATCCTTTATGAAAATTGTTGCATATCCTCTATCAAAATATGGAAGGAAAATCACAAATGTTCCGTACCCTATGTCAATAAGTAAAGTGTGAGCCTGACTGGACTTAAGGAAAAGAAATTATGCACCGAACAAAGATTTTAAACAGAGGGGCTATTTTTTACCTTGACCCTTGACCTAGAAACTTCGTTTAAGGTCACTGCACATCTATTGACCAGTGGCACTCTGTGAGTGAAGTATGAGCCATATTGGACCAAGGGGAGAGAAGATATGCTAGGGACAAGGATTTTTCATATAATTCTGCTATGAACTTAATCTTAGACCTAGACACATTGTTCAAGGTCACTGCCCACCCTTTACCCAAAGGCACTCTATGGGAGAAGTATGAGCCAGATTGGGCCAAGGAGAGAGAAAATATGTTCCGGACAAGAATTTAAACAGAAAGGCTATTTTGACCTTGACCTAAAAACTCGTTCAAGGTCACTGCACATTCTTTGAACAGTGGCACTCTGTGAGTGAAGTATGAGCCACATTGGACCAAGGGGAGAGAAGATATGCTCCGGACAAGGATTTTTCATATAATTCTGCTATGACCTTAACCTTAGACCTAGACACATGTTTCAAGGTCACTGCATACCCTTTACCCAAAGGCACTCTGTGGGAGAAGTATGAGCCAGATTGGGCCAAGGAGAGAGAAAATATGTTCCGGACAAGAATTTAAACAGAGAGGCTATTTATGACCTTGAAGTATGAGCAAGATTGGGCCAAGGAGAGAGAAGATATGCTCCGGACAAGAGATCTCAGATGGACAGACAGACGGAAGGACGGACGAGCAGACTGATTACTATAGGGCACCCACAGATCGGGGCCCTAATAATTGTAACTATGTAACATAACTTGTCATGTAAAATGTAAATGCAAGTTATATCAATGTTAATATGTAAGAACTGCGAATGATAGCATTGTGTTCCCGCCTACCTCCAAGTCAGTTTTCAAAAGTAAACACATTTGAATAATTTTTCACATCTATATATTAGATATTTATATGAATTTTCATAAAATATTACTTCTTTGGGAAAAGAGAGATAACTCTATAATTTTGGTAAAACTTGTGTTTTTCACCATAGAAATCAACGGAAAACGGAAAATATTTTAAAATCCCCCCCCCTCCCCACCCCTGTGAAAAATAATTCCTTTTTACAGTTTACAGGTAATATCGACTGTCATTTCACAAATTCATACCAAAGCTTTTTGTGTTTCACGGGAGGGGGGGGGGGGCATATGTTTACAGACAAAAAACTACAAAAATGTTTATTTTTTCACCAATTTAAAAGGGGTTCACAACTAAAATTTTGTATATTATTAATAATAAATGTTTAATTTTATATGAGTAAAACATAAGAAAAGATTTAAGGAATATTTATTCATATCCAAGAATATTTTAAAATGTGGCGATGCTTTAAAGCCCGATTTAAATGAATAATATCGTCTACCCCCTTATTTAAAGAGCTGGAATTAGGGGTAATTAACTACTTAACATTGAAATTAAAATTATCAGTCAGCTACCATTGAACTGTTCTTTGCATTCAACAAAGACTTTACGGCCAAATTGCCAATAGTATTGGATTAAATGGGTGTAAAATGTAGGTGCACAGGAAATCAAGAGTTAGCGTGTGTAGTTCTTTCTAGACTTGCCATTTGTCAACTCGTGAAATGTAAATAAAACTTTAAAGATTTGTTAATTATGCAATGTTGCATAATGCTAATGCA